GAATATAATATTTCTGTGTCGTTTATGCACAAAGTACTGACGTGATGTCGTCACCAACTATACAGTAATAAGAAAGCTCGGGGGTACTGTACTCACTAGGAAGTAGAAAGCATTGGGCTTTTCAAGCTGAGAAAGTTGCTGATCCGAAGGAACAAAGGGAGGGGCAAATAACCGTAACCAATAGAGACTAATAGCAGCCAATGAGTGATCTTTTTCATAAAGAAGCAACAGAGAAGGGACATTCACCATACTTCCGTTGTGGGCTGTAAATAGTAGATCTATTGAGACACTACAGCCAGAGATACTGCATCCTTAAATGCTACCCTGTTGCAAAATGTGAGATGTTTGAGGCTTTTTGTTCTAGACTGTGCTGCCTGTTTTACAGATTTCTGTCTTTGAACTTGGAGAGATTAAGTGTATTAATAAAGGAGGTAAATCGATAAAACGTTGTTTCCTCTGAATTTTGTTACGTTAATAGTTTACTCGCATCATTACTGGAACATATTCTAATAGTACAGCAAGAATTGCGACCGTTCGCAATTACGACCAAAGCTCCCATTGAGCGATCGTAAAGGCGGTCCCCGAGTTACGAACGTGACCCACGCTTGCGAACTGCACATTTGCGTGTAACTCAATGGAGTCCGAGTTACGAACAGCTCGAGTTACGGCCAAGTGTTTGGTCCGTAACTCGTTCATAACTTGGAGAGAGGCTGTAGTTGAAATTGAAAGAAACAAAATTATCCAGTGAGATGCACTATTCCCTTTTTAAGGAGTGAAGCCACTGGAGATGGGGGATAAACATTGAAAAGTGGTTCTAAATTTCCTCTGTAATGAGCGATGAATTTTGGAGATTAATATGTCTGCACTGCTTTGCCATGCTAATTGTGAAAAGCACATTTTTGAAGTACGGCATATTTTCTGATCTAAAGGTACCATCAGCCAGAACTCACTCCTGGGTACCAGCTTCCGAAGTCCTCAGGCTCTCAAAGGTCTCTTGACTTTCAAGGGCTTTGGTGCTAGGTTGTTTTAGAGCTTTTATTTAGGAGTGTGGAGGTTGGGCCCTCTTAGTTTTAGTGCCTCGACATTGTGTTGTTGTCTGTTATCCCATAGTTTCGTGCTGGCACGTGCTCTGTGCTTGCGCATCAGAGACTTTCCATCCTTTCAGCATGCAATGTTGCGGGGTGCCCGGTTGCAGAGGCTCAGCAGCCGCACGAGAGCGTTGGTGTCTTTTTGTCCAATGCCACAGCGCTTCTCCTGTGTCAGCATAACACATAAGGCATGAGCAGCGTTTTCAGGAGGCAGCTGAGTGGTCCTCATTCCTCACTGCCACACACCGTTCTCGCTTAGAGTTGGCCTCCAGAAGAGAATTTTGGTTTTGGTCTCTCTAGGCTGTGGAACTCCTGTTCCCAAAGTTTTTTGCTTCCTTGGGTATCTCCCTTGGGATAGCCAGTTTTATCCTGGCTCTTCTTATTGGCCTCATCCTCTAGTCCAGGGGTGGGGAACCTATGGCCCAGGGGCTGCATCTAGCTCCCGAGACTCAGGGCAACCTCCAGCATTGGGGAGCTCGTACTCCTGTCCTGTGGACCTCCCCTCCTGCCCAGATCCTGCTCTCAAGCCTGCTTCCTGGCAGCCCCTGCCCACACACTGATCATCTCATTTTTGGCCCCATCTCAGGGTACGTCTAGACTACAGGCTTTTGTCGACAGATACTGTCGACAAAGCTTCTGTCGACAAAGAGCGTCTAGACTACATTGAGTTCTGTCGACAAAGCAAGCTGCTTTGTCAACAAAACCCTGTAGTCTAGACACAACCCTACATGCAATAACACCTTCTGTCGACAGAACTCCGTCGACAGAAGGCGTTATGCCTCGTAAAATGAGGTTTACCAGCGTCGACAGAACTCAGTGGTAGTGTAGACGCAGGTATGGTTTTGTCGACAAAAGTCTGTAGTCTAGACACACCCTCAGAGTGTACGGGGAGGCCACAAAATCTACTAGCCTGGGCCTCTCTAGGCTCTGATATGTGCAGGGAATGTGTGTGGGGGCAGTGGTTTTGCTTTGCCAGCGGCTCCCAACATGCGAGAGGTTCCCCACCCCTGCTGTAGTCAATCTGTGATGCATGTGGTTGGCATTGGCCTTCTAATTACAGTTTTATTCTGACACTGAGTGAGACTCCTACTGGACAGTATCTTGAGAGAAGAGAAAATTATGGCCCTATAATTCAGTTTCTCTGTTGGTAGCCTTCCAATCGGGATGAGTTGGAGAGGTTTGCCTCTTGAATTTTTTTATATTTTTTTCCATGGGAAGCATTGCTGCTTCTACTCCCTAAATTGAAAGGAACATGACACGGGTAGTGCTTTCAGCTCAGGGACTGGTGCTTGTCAGCTTGATTCATGTCATACTGCTGCCCTTGGGGACCAAAAAGCCTCTAAGAGTCTGGGGCACTCCATCAGTTGGAATGCTACGGGGCTGAAATCCAGGAATGAGAGTCCCATTGGTAAAGCCGTGCACTGATACACAATTTGTATCTGTAGCCGCAAAAATGAGCCGGGGATATCTGCATCCCTATCCACAGATGCAGATACCTGCAGATATCTATGGATTTTCAGGGCGCTACCCATTGGAAAGTCTGCAGAGAAGCAGAATTACAAGCCAGTAAATTACACATTTTCGGTGTTGGAGAGTGTTGCGGATGACCTGGCTCAGAACAGTTATTTTTCTCTGTCCTTTTGTGTATGCACATTCAGAATATGTTTTAGAAGTCCTTGGCCAGTACTTTAACACCAATAGCTTTCCTTTTTGGTTTTATGAATGATTTACCAAAGCTCAAGCTTAAAACCGGAAGCTGTTTTTGATTTCATAAGCAGAGTATCTGACATTCGGTAGAGGGTTTTGTATCTTGAAATGAGCTGTATAAACACGGCTGCTGCTGTTCAGGCTGGCAGAAATATTTTTAATAAATCTTTAAATTAGAAATCATGCATGTAATACAGCCTAGAGCAGACCTAGTGCCGTCGCTGAATAGACGGGTTTGTGATGCAGAGCATCATCCAGATCAGCACATCTGTAAAACGAACAGTCTAGGAAATGTGTTTCTTTTTCCTCCCACCCCCAAGTCCCTGCTTAGGCGTTTTAAGCCAAGCCTGCCATTGGAGTTTTCCAAAAACAGGTCTATAGCTTGTGAAACTAAAATGAATATTCAATATTTATTAGTATGTGGATTGTAACTTTTTGTAACCACAATGGAGCAATGAATTGTAGATTCTAAATTAAGGCCCTGATGGGTTTTGATGAAATTTTTGTTTCACTCGTTTTTGTTGCTGCAAAGGGAATGGGACACTTCCATCGGTGACTTTTTTTTTTTTTTTTTTTAAAGCCTTTTGTTCTCACTTTGTCTATCCCCGTTGTTCCCATTTGGAGTTCCTTGCTATTCAGAAGCTTTCTAACCACTCCATCTCCACCTCTTCCTTACTGCTCAAAAATGAAACTACAAGTTGAACCTCTCTAATCCAGCACACTCTGGTCCGTCACCCTGCGTGATGTTAGTTAGCCGCATGTTCATTTATCATGGGCGTGGCAGTCCCATAAAGTTTGTTTAGAGCCACCACTCCTGGCACTCTGTGTTCTGTGCCGTGATTTAGCTCTAATTTACCCCTAAATGTCTAAGAGCCCAGTGAGCTGTGGAAGGGTTGGTAATGCTCCTAGACAATATTGACCACCCCATGGGTTGGCACATTTTCTGCTTCTGCACCCATCAGGTCCTGAGAGTGCTGAACTAGAGAGGTTCAACCTGTGTACAGAAAACAAAAGTTGTACTTGGCTAGCAATTTGAGAGCCTGAGAACTAAGGATAACTTACATTTATGCCTCCAAGTGTATAAAAGGTGAGTAATGGGCCTGATTCTGATCTCACTTGAAATTGATTTTACTCCAGTGTAATTGTGTGGATTCCAGAGGAGTAACTCCTCCTATACACCAACGTAAGTGAGATTGGGGACATGTCCTATAAGGAGCTCATACGATTATGACTCCACTGTTAAATATAACACAAGTTGATAGTTGTCAGGTAACCACAATCGTTTGGTCTTCTGCTGAATTAAGTACATGAAAATAAATTCCCAGATTAAAGTTTCAATTTTGTGTAATTTAGAGCTGTAATTTTATCTTTGGCAACTAAATTGCTTCATTATCCCTTCACTGTAGTTGAAAGCTACAAACTCTCACACCAGGTGTAAATCATTCTCTTATTTACTTGCCTCTTAAGAAGGGATATTTAACTTTTTTGCTTTTTAATTAGTTGAATGACTTATCTTGAATGTTTCTCTCCAAGACCTTGGATATCAGGAAACTACTTTCAAACAATATTATATGTCAAAAGCATAGCAAACAATTGGCCTTTGGACATTAATGACTTAATAGCACCACTAGGTTTAAATGGTAAATATTTAAAAGGGGAAATTCTCTTTTCATTCTCTCCACTCCCCACATTTAAAGTACAAACAGAGCTGCCTTTCTCCTTAGGGTCCCCTGGCATTGAGTCCTGAGCATTCTACATGTCCCCATCACGCACAAAAAGATGCAGTGTCCATGCGACCCAGCATATGAATTTTAGTGGGAGAAGTGATGGGGCAGAGGTGAGGAAAATGGACATGTATTTTAGCTCTCAGTCTTATCAATAACTTCTGCAAGTTAAGAGTTTGGTGCATTTAGCAACACAGATAATGCTTTTGCAGCAAATTATATAGTTCATAAAAGGTACATTGTAGAAGGAAATCAGCAATCGAATAGAGAAATATATTTGGAGAGAGATAAAAGCTCTTAAACTCACTGAGAACTGGATACTGCATCATTGAGTCTGTCTCTATTTTTCAAAGCAAAAAAAGTTATTAAATATCGGGAAAATGCAAGGTTTTTTCCCTCTGGATTTCATGCTAATCCTGATATTTTAGCCTATTTTGTTCATATTTTCCTTGTTTTTTTTGTTTTTGTTTTTTACTTCTAGGCTCAGACATCAGGCACACAAAGAGCTTTATGCCTACAAACAGGTGAGATGAAAAAATTTGTAAACTACTTTTTTTTTTCTCCCTCTCTTCTTGCAGATAACTGAGTAAGGACCATTAATTTCTTGTGATGGTCACCATTTTAGGTTTCCACTGAGCTGTTCCAGAGTTTGATGTCTTGCCGTTTTTGGCCTACCTCTGCAAGTACTTAAGTATGTGCTTAACTTTACTGACATGAGTAGTTCCATTGAGGTCAGTGGGAATATGCACATGTTTAAAGTTACACGCATACATGTGAGTTGCAGAATCTAGGCCTTACTCTATATCATGCATGTTGTCAGTTGTTCCCTTGCAATAGTCTAGGATTTGTATGTTTTGTGTTATTCCCTATTTATCAGACACTTTCTCTGAAGCTAGATAACAAAAGGGAAAAATACAAGACTTTCTGCCTCCCTCGCAAACATCCAGACCTTTCCCAGATGGCAATTAATGTCATCTGTTGAAACCCTGTATTTGATTGGATTTTTCACAGGTGAAAGGAGGAGTTGCCAATTAAGTTACTTCATTTCTGTGCCTGGAGCTTGCAATGAGTGGAGGGGAGAGGAAAATTGGTGTGTACTTTCCCTGGTATGGTTCTAGCCTGTCCTGATTGAAGTCAAATAGGACTTTTGCTATTGCCTTGAATGGTAATAAATGTGCCCCAGCAAACATGGCTCGTAGTTCTTCTATGTTTACAATAAGTAGTAATATACCCCTCCTACAGCACAAAAAGAAAAATGCTGTCCTAGTGGATCTAAATTCAGTTCCCATGAACTGTATCTTGATGGGTTAGGTTACACTAACAGGGGGGAGGGGGGATTAAAGCAGTGTTCCGAGTTTGGAATAGTGGGATTTCTCTGCAGGGAACGTTTCCAAGTTTTCTTGGCAGCTCCTACTACTTCTTCCACTTGCCCCCCGTGACACACATCCGTGTCTGCTTCCAAAGAAACCACACGAGCGGTAGGATCATTGTAAACACTCTGCTTTCTTTGGGGGGAGGAATAGCTCAGTGGTTTGAGCATTGGCCTGCTAAACCTAGGGTTGTGAGTTCAATCCTTGCAGAGGCCATTTAGGGAAAAAAATCATCAGGGATGGTACTTGGTCCTGCTGAGAAGGCAGGGGACTGGACTCAATGACCTTTCAAGGTCCCTTCCAGTTCTAGGAGATAGGCAATCTCCATTATTATTATTTCTTTAGTGCCATGCCATGGATATGGTTGGTCCCAGGGTTTGAGACACAGGTTGGGCGAGGTAATATCTTTCGTTGGACCAGTTTCTGTTGATGGGAGAGTGTTTCACAAAGCTCTTGGTCAGGTCTGAAAAAAGTAACCAGGGTGTCCCAGTTAATGGTGAGGTCAGGCAGATTGTTTAGCTCATGTTCAGGGAGGTGGAGGAATCTCCATCTCTAGAGGTTTTTAAGTCTCGGCTTGACAAAGCCCTGGATGGGTTGATTGAGTTGGGATTGGTCCTGCCTAGAGCAGGGGGCTGGACTTGATGACCTCCTGAGGTCTCTTCCAGCCCTAGGATTCTGTGATAAGACCCAAGGGTTGTGAGGAGACTCAGCAACTGGACGTGGAGCATGAAGCAATGGAAGAGACGCAGGGTAAGTTGTGTGCGGGGAATGGAGGGAGGCAGTGCAAGCAGCAGCTCTGCCAGGCGGTAAGTCGTTCTAATGCAGCCGGGGGAGGGAGAGCAGCGGCAGCACAGGACGGTACATTAGTGTAGTACAGCCATGGGGGGATGCCAGTGCCAGGTTATAAGTTGCTGCCTGTTGCAGCGGTATGGGAAGTTGCTCTTGCATCTGGGGCTTTTCACCTCACATCTGCATGGCAGTGCAATTCCCACCACTCAATTCTGGTTTCCCTGGCCCACAAGCGACGCTCGACCAGGCACAGCTGCTCTGAGACAGCCCCATGCAACGTCACGTTGCTGCCATGGGAAGCACAGCGGTGGCTGACAAGACATTTTTCACATTCCCAAAATACCTAGTGCGGCATTGCATGTTCCCACAATGCTCAGGACTGAAGGTGGCGCCAGGCATTGTGGGATGCATACCAGCATTGCTTGGCTCTTTTGTCAACAGGGAACTAACAATGCACCCACGATATGTCGACAAAGGGTGGCAGCGTAAACGTGATTTGCCGATTTTCTTTTTGGCGAATTACGAATGCTGTCAGATCTTTCCAGTGTAGACATAGCCTCAGAGACACTAGTTTTATATCTCATCGCAAGAGCTTGTAATTTAGTTTTGCTCTTAAAGCTTATGTCTGCATAGGTGTTAATTGCCCGTTTCATTTTACGGTTTTTTTCAATATACGTTGACCCTTTATTATATAACAATCTTTCTCAACCTGTATTTAGTCCTGTCACTCTGGTTATCTTTTCTAAACCCAAAGAAGAGTTCTGTAAAGCGCAAAAGTTTCTTTTCCACCAGCTGAAGTTGGTCCAACCAAAGATATTCCCTCACCCACCTCGTGGCTCAGCTTTCTTTAGTGTTTTAGTTATTTATCTTTCCATTCTGTAGCCTGAGCAAGCATTCTGACGTTAATAACATTACACATTTACAATCCTTTCTTTGATTTCAATCCTACTCGCTGCTCATTTGCCAAATTGGGCACAGAATTGTGAACAAAAACAAGGGGAAAAGGATAAATTGGAAAGAGGAGGAAATAGCTGAATAATGAAGTTTGTCAAACAATATGAGAATGGGGCATATTTGATTTCAGACGGAGTCTCTCTGTGTCTCATTCCCTCTTTTGGATTAGCAGTTGTAAACTGCTCAATAGCTGCCTTTCCTCTCAAATGTGTTCTTGGCAAGTCTTTTGAGAACTGTTTTTACTAGTTTACTATTCGTGTCTGGTTTATTTAGGCTGTTGAGTTTCTGGTATTTGCTTTTTTTTTTTTTTTTTTTAACTTCTAAAACTTTAGCTGTAATTTGCCTACACATGCATTTCAGTGTTCAAACATATTTATGTTGATGAACTGTCTGTAAATCTGTATAAAATTTCCTCCTTCAAAGCTCCAGATTCTTGGGGAAAGCACAGGAGAAACTTAAATCCATCTGTTGTGGAATAAAAGACCCACGGCAGGGCCACAGATGGCCTGAGTAAGTGCCCTGGGCTCCCATTGCAGGGCTAAAAATTTGCTGTGTTGGTATCAGGCTTGGACTGGTTGTAGGGGCATTCAATCCATATCATGAAAGTGGAGGAAATACTGCACAGAAACGTTGTCACCTGTGAATGACTTCAGTAAAGATTAAATAGAAGGGGAAACTATTTACATCAGCATCACTTATTTAAAAGGAAATCTCTGAAGACCCCAATTAATGTAATGAACTAAACAGGCGGAAACGGTAGAAGGCCCAGTCCTAATGCTGTGTGTCTTTGTCTTGCAGGTCATTCTAAAGGAAAAAGTAAAAGAGCTTAATCTGCATGAGGTAAGCAATGTTGCATGGCAATGAGCCGTTACTCCTCCTACAGAACAAGGCCTCTTGCTCCCGTTCAGGAGTCAGCTGTTGGTCACATTCCTTTTCTAGAATGATTGTGTCCATTTCTTGCACTCCTGCTTCTAGTCACTAGTGCGGACGTGTGGTTGAGGGAGATGGGCAAAGGAAATAAAGAACAATCAAAAATCTAGAGATAAGGGGGATCAAAATTAAAAGTCTTCTATGTTACAATTAAGGTGTAAATAGGTCAGGAGCAAAAGGAACAATTGATCATTCTGGATCAGTTTTGCAATAGGTGCTCATATTTGCATTTATATTACTAGGAGCAAAAAGAACAATTGATCATTTTTGATCAGTTTTGCAATAGGTGCTCATATTTGCATTTATATCACATCAGAGAGACAGAGTGGGTGAGGTAATATCTTTAATACCACTGTGTACATCAGAGAGACAGTGAGTGAGGTAATATCTTTAATACCACTGTGGAAACTTGAAAGCTTGTCTCTTTCACCAGTGGAAGTTAACACAGAGTAAGATTACCTCACTCATCTTGTCTCGCTAATCTCCTGGGACCAACTTCCACTGGTGAAAGAGACAACACAGGGTAAGATTACCTCACTCATCTTGTCTCGCTAATCTCCTGGGACCAATGCAGAAAACAACCATGTTTTACATCTGGTTGGTACTTAAATTCAGAACACCAGTCACGTTCCCCAAAATGATTATTTAAGCATCTTTGCAAAATTCGGTGTCTGAACTTAAACCCCTGGCACTAACAAAATGGGGTTTTATGCTAGTATTTTAATTGGAGGAGGGAGGGATAGAGTTTGCATCCAAGTTCAACTTGTCCTAAAAGCTTTCTTCACACAACTTGATGCTATGAAGTTATGGCATGATGGGAGGTTGGCGTCTATGATGAATGGCGTGTTGGCTGTTTTTTGGAAAGAACAACGCAGGGCAAGAGGTGAGAGAGAAGCCAGCACAGAGGAGGATAGAAATAAATGAGTGGGAACAGAGAAAGGAGTGGCAGGGGGAAAACATTCCTAAGTGAGTGACGGCCCTAGCACGAGGAGAACCATACATCCCAACATCTCTGATTGCAATCGGTGTCAAACTGTAGACTTATAAGCGGAAAAGGAGTGAATGCCAGGTTGTCTAGGAACAGAAAGGCTGTTTACAGTTGTAAGGAGCTGTTGCCACATCTTGGTTACTTAGTAACCCAGTTTGGATTGTGATGTGGTTACAGTGTTACAGGAAGGTGATCAGAACAGACTAATGAGCATACTTTCACCTCTTGTGCCCACTTAAAAATTAAACACCCGAGTTTCCATTCAGCTTCTGGATGGCCAAAGTCCATCTCCCTAATGCAGTGGTGGTGTTGCACTCAACGCTAGCCAAAAGGTGTGGGAGACTGTAGGGAAGGAAAATCCCATTTAATTGATTAATGGGTTAAATGTAATTTTTAATGGGCTAATCGATTAAAGAGGGGTGCTCCCCCCTCACTGCGGTTGAGTTGGAATGCCGCTGGAACAGCCGCTGTCCATGGCGAGCCCTGTGGGGCTGAAGCAGTCACCTGCCTATGGCGGGTGGGGAGTTACTCCAGCCACTATCAGTTAACTGGAACCAGTAAGCCTCACCGGTTAACCTTTCGCATCCCTACGCAGCCGCTGTCTGAAAGTACAGACCCCTCCCCGCAGCATGCAACAAGCTCTCTGCTTCTGTTGCCATGAATCAGTAGCAATAGAGGCAGCAAAAGAGTCCAGACCAAAGCAGAGAGGTTGGAGAATTCGGTGACTACAATGGACTGGCCAGCAGAGCCCATGTCCCGCAGCAGCATGCTGAGGGGTCTGGCAGAAGGACTGCTGCACTCGTGAGCCCCTGGGAGCACAAAATGCACACAGTGACACGCCCCCCCAGTCTCTGAACTAGCCTAAATGGAAACAGATGCTATTGTCATGTTTCCTGGAACTTTTTAGAGGTCTGTCAATAAAGCGAGTGGATGGCCGACTCTGAAATACTTCTGTACCACATTATTGGCTTCCTGCATGTGGCAGCTGGATCAGGAATGTTCCTACATTGAGGTTTAGTTTGCGACGGTGAGGGGGATGGGGAGAAGCATTTGGGAAAAGAAGTAATGTATGTGAGATGATAGAAAACTAGATAAAAGAGAGTCAGAGGGGGTCCCTCAAATGTAACAGTAGGTAGGTGCTTTCTGACTCAGTCTTGGCAGTGGGTCAGATGGGTACGTTTCTGGTTGGGCAGAGTAATTACTCCATGGGATTTCATTCCATGTTAAAAACACCCAGCTGCCCACGCATTGGTTGCAGAGTATCAGAGGGGTCGCCGTGTTAGTCTGGATCTGCAAAGGCGACAAGGAGTCCTGTGGCACTTTATAGACTAACAGATGGATTGGAGCATAAGCTTTCGTGAAGTGGAGCACTTTGCATTTCTCTTTATTAAACCTCATCCTGTTTACCTCTGACCATTTCTCTAACTTGCTACGGTCATTTTGAATTATGTCCCTATCCTCCAAAGAAGTTGCAACCCCACCCAGTTTGGTATCATCTGCATCAGATGTGGAGGTGTATGTTGGAATGGGTTCAAATTGTATTGGGCTCTGGTGTGATTGCTACTGGAATGCTGTGTCCAGTTTTGGTGTGCACAATCGAACAAGTTGGTTGTTAGATTAGAGAAGGCTCCCAGAAAAGCCACGAGAGTGATTAAAGGATTGGAAATCTTGCTTTGTGGTGGAAAAACTTAAGGAGCTGAACCTATTTCATTCAGCAAAGAGAAGGCTACGTGGCTACTCGATGACAATCTGTGAGCACAAATGCAGGGAACAAAAACTTGGTAGCAGGGCTTCTCAGTCTAGCAGGCAGTGGCATAACAAGTGTTGATGTCTGGAAGCGTAAGCTAGGCAAATTGAGACTTGAAAAGAGGTGTAAAGAGTAGATGATCACAGTGGTCCCTTCTGGCTTTAAAATCTATGTGCTTCTAGCCATAGATTGGACTCTAGCTTAAACCTGACACCGGGAAATAACTAGTGATTTCTTTGTCTGGGATTATAGCCTAAGTAAACACGTGTGTTGACTTCTGGGGTCTATATCCTGGTTGACGTTTCTTAAGAAATGAAACTTAAACCACCAGGAAATATCGGTGTGTCAAGTCAAAAGTACGAAGCAGGATGCACTGCCCTTTGGGATGCTCCTGCAAGGGCAAGGGCATGTGCTGCTGAGCTCGCAGGACATCTTCACCTCCACTGCCCTGCTGTGGATGTTGAGCCTCATGCAAGGTGACAATATTAACAAACCAACAAAATCGCTGCTGCCAGCTTTATGCCTTGTAAACAATTCTTCCCATGTAAAACTTACCCTCGAGGGCTCCCAGCTGCCCTAAGGATTAATGCCCCGCAGAGTTTTTTTTCTTTTTGTTTACACCAGAGTTTGGTGGAGAAATACATGAAACTTGGTTCAGATGTCTATTTTAGTTCTGTTTGAAAGGTTTAAATAAAAAACCTGGCCTGCTTCACAGATGCAGAAAATTTGGGGGGCGCAAATCTGAGTTAAACTATCATTTGGCAGATGAGTTGATTTGTCTGAGGAAAAAAACCCCAGTTTTTAAGAAATTTTAAGAAAAAATTTTTTACTCTCTGAATCTGGAAAGTCTCATAGAATCCATGGGCTGGAAGAGACCTCAGGAGGTCATCAAGTCTAGCCCCCTGCCCAATGCAGGACCAATCGCAACTAAATCACCCCAGCCAGGGCTTTGTCAAGCCGAGACTTAAAAACCTCTAGGGATGGAGATTCTACCCCTTCCCTAGGGAACCCATCCCAGTGCTTCACCACCCTCCTAGGGAAATAGTTTTTCCTAATATCCAACCTGGACCTCCCCCACTGCAACTTGAGACCATTGCTCCTTGTTCTGCCATCTGTCACCACTGAGAACAGCCTCTCTCCGTCCTCTTTGGATGTCTCCTAAGAGGAAAAGCCGACTCGTCCTTAATTACAGTGATGCTCTTGTGGAGCCTCTGAATGTAAATTGCAGGACATCAGGGAGAAGAGAATTCTGAATTGTAGAAGCTGGCAGGGTGCGCTCACCAGCATGAATCTGACACCACTGCCTTGGGCAGGCCAAAGGAACAACCAGTTACGCAGATGGACTGAAGCAGGACTTGCCAGCAGCTATTTTAAATGAAGAAGTGGTTTATGTATGAAACAAACTCCTATGCCTGGGCAAACTGGCGTGCGGAAGGAATATCCCCCAGGATTGTCTTCGAGATTTGCTGGACGGTCTAAAAAATATTCCCCCACCCCTTCCCAGAAACACCATTTTCTCATCTCTCTTGCTGTTTAGACGTGCAGTAGTAAGCATGAGTCTACTTTATGCAGCAGGCACTTTTAGGCAGGTTTTTACCCCACTTAAAGGCAGGCCTTTTTCCTTGCTCTTTTTCTATGGTCATGCCAGTGGGAGGGGGGGGGGGGGGGGGGGAGAGGGGGGAGCAGCCAGCTCTTCAAAGTGGCATCCTCCATACAATTTGACTTTGCATGGATCATGCCACACCATTTCCAAAAGTACAGGAATACCCAGTGTTTTGGGGGCCTTAACCAGCATGCACCCTTCACTCCATGTGCCCTGCCACTGTGAATTGTTCACGGTGCGCGGTGGGACTGCTTAGTTGCAGGAGGATCTGAGATGCACTTGAGACCATGCCTGGAATAATAATACTCAATTTACACACGGTGCCTCTAGTCTGTAGGACTTACGGCCCTGATGCATGGTTCACTGCCAGGAATCTCTTTACCAGGAAGCTATAGAGGAGCTGAATAAAGTTCAGAGAAGAGCAGCAGAAATAATTACGGGGCTTCAGCACCATGGCTTAGGAAGGAAGAGGCACAGAGCTCAAGTGTTTCTTTCCCTGTATTTCAGAAAAATCTGAAAAGAAACGTCCTGAAAAGCTTCTGGAGAGTGGAGTCGCTGCTCGTGATAGGTAGCAGGCATGCACGAGGGAAATGATTCTGTAGAGCCCTTTGATTCCTGGCAGAGTCAAGATTAGAATTTTCTGTAGTGCTGCTTCGCAAGCACAGTGTGTGCTCGCAGTACTGGAGGGGGGGAAAAACAGTCTGGATAGAAATCTGGGGCCCTATCCTGAGGGCTTGACTTGGGCAAACCTCCACGGAAGTCTGTGAGAGTTTGTCTGAGCCGCTGCAGGACGCATCTGATCTGCATGGAGAACTTGAGACCGATGACTGGATATAATCAATTGATCCTGCTGCCTTTGAAACGGCAAGGGCAGTCAAGAGCTCCTTGTGTTTCTGCAGCCCTTGCCCTTTCAGTGTGCTGCCCTGGGACAGACTGTCCCTTTGCTAAGCCTTTTGGGAGCGGGGCCATAGCTTTCGGTTATATGAGAACAGTATTAAAATGCAGCACAACCCATTACAGAGCCCTGCATCGCAAATACCAACAGTGCAGCCCCAGGAAAATATCACATCAGTGAAGAATCAGAGGCCAAAGGAGTTGGGAGCATGAAAAATTGGTTAGACGGAACCTGTGATTCCGACTAAAAAAATCAGAATGTGTTCCTCCTACAAGCGCTTCAGATAAGGATCTTCAGCCAACTTTCACCAGCTTCAGTCAACTCCAGTTTGACTTGTATTTCAAGAGATGTAACATTCTGTTTGCTTGTGTTTTCTGCATAAGCATCAGGGCTGGGAAAGGCAGGAGGTGATCATTGTAGATACTGTTTCTGTAGCTGTTTACATAGGCAAAACCCTGTGCAGGCTTTCACCACCCTTTCTAGCACTCTGTGATGGAGAGGAGAATTATCCCTATTCTGCAGGTGGGGAAACTTGGGCAGAGAGGTTAAGTGAGTTGCCCAAGGTGACCAAGTTGACAGAGTCAGGATTAGAATTTAGGAGTTACTGGCTCCAAGCATTATGCTTCTAGACCATGGGCCTTTTGAGTTTGTACTCTAAGTTTTTCTCTTTTACAAGACATTTCTGCATTAGCCTCATGAAAGCAAATAACTCAGAAGGCCCACACCTGCCCTGGGCCACCTGCCATGTTAGCTGATCTAGATATGACTGGTTGGCCATTTTGGATGAATGGGGTCAGACTGCATCCATATCAAACTTAGGGTATAGGCTAGGAGAAAATTTTCTTTCTCCTAGCCATGACCTCATTCCTAATTTTTCATATGGTAAAGATCTAGCCTACAGTGTTATTTCTAAACTTGGGCTAAACCCTGGCCTGCCCGTTTTAAACCTGGTCTGGGCTGACGTGGGTTTAAATCTGGTTTCTAACTAGCTCAGTCTGCTGTAGAAAAGAATAACCCTCTCGTTGGCAAAGCATGGGTATTTGCCATTGGCGTGCAGTCTCCTTGTAGAGCACTGCTGAGAGAGAGGAACACGGAATGACCGATAACAAAGGAAATCAGACTGGGTTTTCCCTTAGTGGAAATGGGTCAATGTGGAACTAAAAAGAAGGTAGTTACAGAGCAGCAGGGTTGTGAAAGCCCTAATCTTTTCCCTTCTGGTGATCTAATGGAAATGTGGCGTGGAGAAGTCCAACTTCAGACCCATCTGCATTATCATGTTGAGAAACCCAAGTACAGCACAGCAGTCCTCAGACTTGCACTGTGCAGTAGAACCTGAGAGTTATGAACTAAGCAGTCAGCCACACACCTCACTTGGAAGTAAATAATCAGACATGCCTCCCCCCGCCCCCAAAAAAGATGACTCTAGTAACATACTGAGTTTAAATGTAAACTACTACTAATAAAGGGAAAGCAGCATTTTTTTTCTTCTGCATAGTAAAGTTTCAAAGGTGTATTAAGTCAGTGTTCAGTTACAGACTTTTGAAAGAACCGCCATAACGTTTTGTTCAGTTTGGAACAACCCCTGTTCCCAAGGGGTTCGTAACTCTGAGGTTCTACTGTCATTCAGATTGAATTATATTTACCTCCTTACAGCCCAATGCTCGGGTCAGCCCTGTCCATGCTACATGACTAAATCGTGTTTTACTATATTAAGGACCCCACCCCAAAAGAAAAGTAGTTTCTAAAGCACGGATGGAAATTCAGTTCTCAAAGAGATATCCATGCCATGAGACATGCCCACTCTTGAATTACGAGTTGCTGAAGAGCTGGTATAACAGGGGTCCTTACAGACTAGAATTGAGGTAATTTGGAAGGTTTCTTTGGGTATCGTGTATAGCACAAGCCCTGGCTAGGTCAGGTATCGGACAGGCATTCCAGGCGGTGCAATGGTACAGAGTAGGACAGAAGTCTGTTTCTTCGGGGCATAACCTTTAGCTAGTCACTTTTGAAAGTCAAATGGAGCACTAACAAGCGCCTGAGTGCTACTGCTTCTCTGGCACCGTTCCCATAGGTCTGTGGCGCCGTTCTGCAAGAGCATATTCTGCTGGGCTGATTGATTAGCTCTCTTGAAATATCCTGGATCGAGGAGCCTGTTGCCAGAGAGATGTGGCGGCTATTGGCAGTCACCTTCAAAAGCTCAATGAAGAGCTAGTGACAACCATGCGGGAGTGAACGTTTTACACAGAGGACTTTTAAACCAAGGTCGTGTCACAAGGATGAGGAAAAGGGCTATTGGGTTGTCTACATAGACTGCCCATCTGTCTGACCATCCTCAGCCTTAAAACGTAGTGAGCTGTGTTGGGGTGATTAGAGCCCTGTCTCTTGTACTAAATGCAGAGGCTGTGAAACTCTGATTTGGATTAACATGTTGGATTAACGAAGCTCGTCACCTAGCTCTGAAACACGTCTCTGTTCCAAACTCAGATTGGTCCAGGCATGGTTACCCAGCTGAATCTCATGGAATGGGTTCTACACTGCACAGAACACTTGCTATTCTCTTGTACTCTCTCTGGGATTACCTATGCTATGGGAAAAACATTGAAGGGAAACTTAGCCCTGCAAGAAGGCAGCAATACCAGAGCTGTGTCCAAACGTCAAGGCAGCAGGTTCACTGTGCCCGTGTCTGCACTACAAAATTATGTCAGCCTAACTTATGTCGGCATAGAGCCATGTCAGCTATTAAATTGCCTGCGATCTTGTCTCCTTGTGCCGGTGCACGTGTATCGATTGTATTGTTAGTGTGGGACGTTGTGGGATACCTGCTGAAAGCCCTGACCAATCAACATAAGCAATGCAGTGTCTGTGTTGACGCTGCCTTGACGTAGGTTGACTCTACACCATTTAGGGAAGTAGTGTTACTAAATCGGCACAGAGAGGCACATAACATCGGCGGGGCCAAATTGAAGTGAAGACCCTTCCAAATGTAGGTCAATGCAAGGCAGCTAATGTCGATCTAATTGTGTAGCATAGACCAGGCCTGCATTTTCCCCTACAGTATTTTTGTTAGGATCACAAGTGAATCGCGTAACCCATTTTCACTAAGGTGTATTTTGTACAAGGCAGAGTCTCGGTGAGGCCATTTGACAAATCTGCATCCCTGATGACACAAGATGAACCTGTTCTTTTAAACGCCTGAACGCTAGTCAAGAGAGTAGTTTCCTGGAGAGGTTGCTTGGGGGAATGTTTCCATTGGTTTAGCCTTACCTACTGAGTGTGTGTTCCAGCCACTGATGGCATTCGCTGTCTGCTTTCTCACCTTTCAGATCTGTGCCGTTTGTCTGGAGGAATTCAAGCCCAAAGACGAATTGGGAATCTGTCCATGTAAACATGCCTTCCACAGAAAGTAAGTGCAGAGCTACCCATCGGTACAAAAGACCAGAGTGATGTTTACAAAAGCCTCCCAAGTCTCTTGGAAACACTGGCAGGGAGATGTAATTGATGGCCTCTGAATTACAAAGGCTTCTATTGTATACATCTGCCTGTGCTGTGTTCTGAAGGATTAACAAATGCTGCTACTCTTCAGTAAGGCCTCATTTACTGTGTTAAGTTGAGCGGTGTTGACGAAAGCTTTGGAGAGCTAGTCACAGTTGCCTTGAGAGTTGGTGGGAAAGGGACAGGAGCCTTGCGTTCATTGGAGAGGCTAGTGTTCTCCCAAAGTCACTTGGGTTCGATAGTCTAGGGTTCTAGGTGGCAGCCGTGGCTGTGAACCGCACGGTGCAGTTAAACCTGCCTGTGGCGGGCCTTGGTTTTAAAAGCACAGCTCACTGCAATATGGAATGCTGACAACAAAGCTGGGACGGTGCAGTTAAACCTGCCTGTGGCGGGCCTTGGTTTTAAAAGCACAGCTCACTGCAATATGGAATGCTGACAACAAAGCTGGGCATGTCAAGTGGGACAGGCAGGCTTTCCTGGAGAACTTGGAAAGGAGCAAGGACACTTGGCAGAGGGTACATAAAGCTTTTGAAAGCATATGGGGAACATGAAGTGTGGCACGGGTAGGGGAAACAGAGAACTCGATGTGACTGGGTCAGACCAGATGGCTATAGGAGAGTGCTCCAAGGCAGCCCTAGATTGAGTAGGTCTCTGTTCTCTGGATAAACCGGCGGGGCTGGCCTAGAACCAGCAGGAACGTTCCAGAATCAATCTGGACAGTCAAGGCCAGTTGGAACACCTGGAGCCAATTAGGAGCCTTCCAGAGCTAAGGGAGTCAGGCTAATCAGAACACCTGGGGCCAATCCAGAAGCAGGTGGGGCTGGTTTGAAAGGACTCCCCTTCTGCTAGGTCAGACGTGCATGAGGAGCAGGGAAGGAGCCAAAGTTCTGAGAGTGAGAGGTGTCTGAGTGAGAGCTGGGAACTGCAAGTCAGGCAGAGTGCCCTGGAGGAGCGGGACATGCTCAGGTACCAGAGGAAAGGTGCTGGGAGGGATGCTTTGAGGGAAGTGGCCCAAGAGCAGAACAAACCCCATCAGTTGCCACTGCCTTAGGGTCACAGGGCTGGAACCAGAGAAGTGAGCAGGCCTGGGTACTCCCCAACCATCCCCCCACCACTGCAGTGTCTGTTCGTGGGTAGGGAGACTAGAACCATAGAGGGGTTTCATCTCCTATTAGGGACTAGCCTGTGACGAATGTGGCTCAGTAGACTGACCCTTGCCCCAAAAAAGGGAGGCTGCGTGGAGGGTCAAGCAAGCCTCTGAGGCTGGACACGATCGGCCAGAAATGCAGGACCCTTGAGCACTGCCAGAGCTCTGCCATATCGAGATACGCTTGGGTGAGGAGCAAGGAAGGGCTGTAGGAGGAGAGGGAGGTGAGAATGGAGGCATGCCGAGTTAAATAGTTGGAACAGAAATGCGTAAGGCGTGGGAAGGTGGTGAAGGGACTTGAGCAGGAGGAGAGATGCAATCAGAATTGCCAGTAGCCTCTTCGGCAGGCTGGATTGGGGGAGTGGAGTGTAGGGAGACCAGAGAGGAGGATGCTTAGTGATTGGGGTGACCAGGTGGGAAGATCTGAACCCAGGTCTTAGCCGTAAGGCTAGCAATGAAATAAATACTAGCACCGGAACGCCGCTGTCCTGGTAACTTGTAGGTTATGTATTAGTCTTGTATCGTCTGCAAGTGTGGGAGAGGGAGGGGCCGTGGCTGGCTTCCAAATTCCACCGCAGCCACCTCTCCCTGGAGAGAGGCCAGCGGGCTCACTAGAACGATTGGGCTGGAACGTTCTGATTTAGTCCTGAACTTCTCACCCTGCAACACACTAAAATCTCACAGAGGGATAGCTGAGTTATCGGTAACTTTAAAAACAACGAGTAGTCCTGTGGCAGCTTAGAGCAGGAGTGGGCAATCATTTTTGATGGGGGGCGGGGGCACTACAAGATTTTGGAAAGTGGTCGAGGGCTCGGGGGTACTACAAGATTTTGGAAAGTGGTCGAGGGCCGCACTCTTCCATGATATTAATAGAGGAGGTGTGGGGTCTGGGATGGAGGTTGGGTGCAGAAGGGAGCTCGCAGTAAGAGATTGGGGTGCAGGAGGGAGAGTGGGGTCTGGGAGGGAGTTTGGGTGAAGGAGGCAGTTGTGACCTAGAGGAGAGGACTGAGTGCAGGGTTTTGGGATGTGACCTACAGCAGGAGTGTGCAACCCTTTTGCATTCACGACCCCTGGACCCAATAAAAGGGGTCCAGAAAAATTTTCGTTGAGCCAAAAAAAAAACGTAATTACCGTTCCACTCCCGCCACTCCCCCCAACCCCTGGTGCATGTATGGGTGCCAAGCCAGGAAAAGAAAATACTGGCCGACCTGGATCAAGGCACTGTGACCCCCAAGGGGATCGCAAACCACGGGTTGCGCACCACTGACCTAGAGCAGCGGGCTGGGGTGCAGGGGGTTGGGATGTGACCTAGGGTAGGAAGGTAGTGTGATCTGGGGCAGGAGATTGGAGTGCCAGATCTGGGAGGGATTATGGGTGTAAGAGAGGGGCAGAGGGCTTGGTTATGTGGAGGGGCTGGGGTTCCAGAGGCAGGCTCTGGCCAAGAGACTGACCAGCCACCAGCCCAGTCAGCCTGCCCTGCCTGCCTACAGAGATAAATGCTTGCAGAGCTTAAAACGTTTCTCGGCCTGCTTGCACGGCCACGTGCTGGTGTGAATAACTGGAGGGGAGGGGGATGCCTGGTGCTTCATGTGCTGCCTCTTATTCAAACAGGCAGCTCCCCATTGGTCAGTTTCTGGCCAGAAACTGGCCAATGGGATTGTGCTGAGGGTGGGGGCAGCACCTGAAGCTTTCCCCCCTCCCTTCTGAGCTCAGTTTTTAAAGAGAAACCGCTCCGCAGCTGCTTTTCTGAGCGGTGTGCAGGGCAAACAGTGGAGCCTGCCTGGGGCTCCCTGCTGCGACCACGGGCCGGATCCAGTGGTTTGGCAGGCCGGATTTGGCCTGCAGGAGGTGTTTTGCCCAGGCCTGCCTTAGAGACTGAGCAAAATATATAGAGAGAGGAAAAAAAATATCATGAGCTTTTGTGGGCAGAACCCACTTCCTCAGATGAGCCTGAGTGAAGGAAATAAAGGGGGGACCCTCACAATTTATAACAGAAAAAGAAGGGAAGTACCTGTCAGTTGTAGTGCTGGTGTAAGAAAAGCAGGTTTTATAATGGGCCATCTAGTTCAAGTCTTTGTTCAAGCCAGGGGAAACTGTCAAATTGTCATATAAAGGTCAATTCCTCACTCTGACTCTGAAGTTGGCTTGTGAAATTCCTGTGTAAAAGAATGGCCACTTTTAAACCCATTAATGAGTGCCCAGGCAGGTTAAAATGTTCCCCTATGGCAGAGCTACTCAACACGTGGCCCATTTGTTTGCGGCCCGCGAGGCAGTTTGGGTTTACGCGGGGCTGAACACATAGCCCGCGGGTGGGATCCTTTGAACATGGCCTCTTTTGGGAACACGCTCCACAATGGCGAGTCAATATAACCGTCTTCTGTAGATATGTGCTTTAGTAGTTAAACTCCTGGACTGTCATTGCTCATTAAAAGTGCTCTCATATCAGTGGAAATTGGGTAAATATTGCATTGCAATAATATCAGCAGAACTGACTTAAATGGGGCCTGTGTGTTGTGTAATCTTACCGTAATCTTTGGCCCGTCAGAGTGAAAGAAGCTATTTGCATATATTTGCACGTATATGCAACCACACTTAAGTTGCGACCTTCGGCATGTGCTTGTGAGTATCGTTGCGGTCCCCGGGGCTTCCAAAGTTGAGTAGCCCTGCCCTACAGGTTTCTGTACGTTACCATTTGTAGTATCTGATTTGTATCCGTTAATCGTTTGTACACACATTTTAACCTGCCTGGGCACTCATTAATTGGTACGTACCCTGCTCCACATGCCTTGGCTTTATGTGCGTGTCACGTTAGTAATATTGGTAGGAACAAAACAACACTGATGGAAAGCAATGGAATCTGGCAGCCTTGCACGTGGGCAAAGGTAAACAAAACGTCTCGCAGGCCACACACCGAACCCTGATGGGCTGCAGTTGTGCAAGGCTGGTTTGGAAGCTATTGTCAGGATGTGGGTTTGCTTGTAGGGCACTCACTCTTGAAAAGAAAGCAAAAGTTGCAGGAGCGAGAAACCACCGTAATCCATCCCAGCACTCTTAACAGCCAACCCAATTCAGCAGAATCTGGCACGTTAAAGTGCCGGTTTTTATTTTGCATCGGAGGAGGGTGGGGAGTTTTTAAAAAGTCTTTGGCTGAGGTGATTTCTGACCAGTTCCAGTACAGAGATGGCCTAGGAATTTTCCTCCTGCAAAAACGCCTCTTGGCTGTATACTGGCTGTACATGCAGATCAGAAGAGGGATTTTAAAATGAACTAAAATGCTGGAGGGAGAAATGTACTTAACAGGATGAAAATGGCAGAGGGTTGGGGGACAGGAATGTGGGGCTCGATTCTAGCTTGGTCTCTGACTCTCTGAATATGAGTAAGTCATTTAATGTAGCTCGGTGTCCACAGCTTGAACAGGGAGATGATGGTTTCTACCTCCAAAAGGCTGAGAGAATTAATGTTTGGCAGGTGACCAGAGGCACTCGGGGGGCGGCGGGGGACAGAAGTGTACCAAGTATGTGTTCCAATTCTGTGTGAATGAACATGTCCTTTTCCTTTGTTCCCAGGTGCCTCATTAAGTGGTTGGAGGTGCGAAAAGTGTGTCCACTCTGCAACATGCCCGTCCTACAGCTGGCACAGCTCCATAATAAGCAGGACCATGGGCCTCCACAGGGACCCTTGCCAGGGGCTGAGAACATTGTATAGCTTCTCCCACACAAAGAACTCTTCCATCGCAAAAAACATCACCAGGCGTAAACCCGGGGACTTCTCCAGAGACTCTCAGATCTCTGAATCTCTCGCTTTCGGCCTTGGTGCATCTGCCAGGATTCCCTTTGTCTCGTGAAGAGCTCCCACAATGCACTTTAGGGGACGGAGCCAGATGCTTGGACGTCAGAACAACCAAAGCAATATGCCGCCTGCGCAGCCGGAAGACAGAGGGCGGCCGCCTGCCGAGGCGTTTGGGTTATTTGAGAGCACTTAGATCGACCCGGTCGCCAATATTACACTGGTGCCTGTTTCCGGCTAGCTGACTAGATGGTGTGCCGAGAAAGAAGGACAGTGTTCCAAGTATAATCAGAAAACGTATGAGGCAAAGTCAAGACCCAGGCCAAGGTGCCTTGAAGGGCAGCTCTTATGCTGGCAGGGTGTATCTTCCCATCTCAAGACGACAAAACCAACCTCCCCCCGCCCCGCCCCACCTTTAAAAACTGCCTTCCCAAGGCCAAACCCAGCCTGAAGTGCGAGTGGCCGAAGAAACAAGCAGGGGCAGGGCTTTATGTTGTTCCTTTAAGAAGGTTTTTCCCGAAGCTGTGGCATGACTGAGAGGTTTACATTTTGACAATGTCCTGTTAGCATGGGCAGCACTAGACAAGTCTCAGCGACCTCCGAAAGACTGCAGGTGCATAAGCCCTTTGGGTGCCGTTGTTCCAGGGGAAGGCGTGCAGGTGTCGGTGCATTTGTCCAGGCGAGAAATTGGGTCACGCCAATGGCCTGATTGTTTTGGGGGGAACTGAGCCCCCACACCTCCCCAGTCTTCATCTCTGAAAATCAACCCTTCCGTGGCCCTAGAGGAGCAGTGGGGTTGGAGCTGCTCTGGAGAACTTTCGTTGCCCCGAAGGGAGCCCCCGGGTGTTTTGGAAAGCGATAGAATGGTTGCCTGCCAAGCTGGCTTTGGACACAGGCACTGCAAACTACTCAACAGCCATCCATGTGTCCTTGTTTTCCTCTGCAGTATGAAAGCCCCTTTAAACGGCTCAAGCTTGCCCAAGACCCAGCACTTACACAACTTACACTTCCTTTCTCGTGTAGTTGGGGAAGCTTGCTGGCTGTGCACAGCCTCGCTCTCCCACACGCCCTCCTGTCTGCCCCATTGCACTCTCAAAGGGCTGATTTCAACTTTGTGGTAGACAGGCCCAAGTCCACTACGTTCAGCAGTGTTGTTGTCTCTTACCCCGGTGACAACCTTGACCATCGCATGTTTCTTCCTCTCGGCTCAGAGCTAGAGCGCGGTACCATAGAGAGAGCCCTGCGTGGATACAAAATCGGTATCTGCCTCCCCATCTGCCATAATGATCGGCAGATATCCAAAACCCGCAGCTGTAAAGCGGATATCTGCAAATTTGCCACGTTCTACATACAGAAGTGAAATCGCGTCGATCTCTGCAAAAAGGAGCCGTGGATATCCACATCCACACGGCTGATTTTCAGGGCTCTGGCCATAGATCCACCCTTGTCATTCTGCTGGACGCTTCTCACCCTTTTGAGTGCAGTGGCTACAGTCTTGTGTACGAATGGCTCTTGGGGTTGGGGAGTCCTCTCGGTGTCTGGCTGAAGGATATTGAAGCAGGTTAGGTCTCTGATTTCTAGCTCCACTTAGACGCTACCAAATGTCCTGAATTAGACCAATAGTAAACAGTACAGAGGCAGCTGGACCAGAGAGGAATTCTCCTTAAATGTACGTAGCTGGCCCTTGTCTCAGAGAAGGGAAATGCACTTATTGCTGCTCTTTCTCCGCCTAGGCACGTGCCTGTGTGCTTATTGTCTGCTGTCACGCAGCCCCTTGAGAGACTCAGAGGAGATCCTCTGGTTCCTGAACAGTGTTGCCTTTGCTGCACTGTCCAATCCAGTTTCTATCTCATCGAGTCCTTTTGTCTTCTAAGCATGGCTTTCTAATGGCCACATCCTGCTGCCATTGTTCTCAGTGGAAAAACCCCCTTGGCTTCTGTGGCATCAAGATAGGGACATCAAAGGGGGAAGATTCACATACTCTCGTGCTCGCTGCGCTGACTTTGCAGCCTGCATTTTGCGTGCAGAGCATATTGTGACGGGAGGCGAGGGGGAGCCAGGTGTATTTGTTTGGGAATGTGAACCCGGCCCTGCACCCTTGGCTCACTCACGCCTCTTGGTTACCTGCATGCAGGTATTTGCATGAGCTGTGAATTGCTGGATAGTTCTACGGGGGAGCCTTCCAGCGGCCTTTGGAGAGAAGGGTGGGTTGTGAACCTCCACCGTGCGCCTCTTTGCCCGCCGCGAACATCACAGTCGGGTAACCTGACTAGAAAGGGCCCGAGTGCTGTTCTTTCCCTTTCCTCAATCCGCACCACGCTGGTAGTAGTCGGCAGCAGGAGTAAAGCAGCGTGAGGTGTCTTTGCCCTTCGTTCCCTTCACAGCGCTATGGCGCTGGACCGCACCAGCACTACTCTAGGCATGTTGACTGATTGGGGGGAAGGGGGGCAAAGGGAGCACTTACCCTGGGCGCTTTCAATTGCTCCTGGAGCAGTGCGCTATGGGTGGCCTTTAGGGCTGCCTGGGAAGGTGGGGGGTTCTGCATGGCACACTCCAGGCAACACTGAGCCCCCGGGGAGGGAAGTGATGCACCATGTTCTGGGTAGCACTGAGGGCTGGCTGCCTGGGGGTGCAGAGCAGGCCTCCCCCGCCCCCCCCCCCGCGCGCGCCCCTCCGCCTTGCCCATGGCCCTGGCGAGGCTGTTTGCGTCACTGGAGACCACAGACTGTCCCCAGCAACCCTTGTTGACTTACCTCTCAGCCTAACATATGCATTTCTCATGTGCCTACACAACAATTTAGGTCAGACTTGAAAACAAAAATCTCCAGGATATTGTTTCCAGTCCTGCTGTTGCTAAAGTCTATGGGGAGCTTTTGCCACAGGCTTCACTCGGAGCAGGATGTTTGCGTCACTGGAGACCACAGACTGTCCCCAGCAACCCTTGTTGACTTACCTCTCAGCCTAACATATGCATTTCTCATGTGCCTACACAACAATTTAGGTCAGACTTGAAAACAAAAATCTCCAGGATATTGTTTCCAGTCCTGCTGTTGCTAAAGTCTATGGGGAGCTTTTGCCACAGGCTTCACTCGGAGCAGGATCAGATCCGTATTGTCTGTCTTGTATTAAGCGCACCCTTCCTGACCCCCTGCGCCCCCCGCGCATTGACCCTCTCTGTGCACTTTTATTATGTTGCCACAACCGTTTTCTGGGTCATTCAGAAGACTGTGTCCTGAACGTGGTGTGTGTGAAATTCTTCCCTAGGCCAGTAGGTATCTTAGATTGTACTCTGCGTGGAACAAGGGTTTGGATTTGAGTGATGAACATACATTGACAGGGCTGGCTTAGTTTCTTCCCTGCTGTCTCCTGGCTGTGCTGATAAAACTTGCATTTTGTTTCGGTTAGGAATCCCGCAAGCTCCAGAGCTGTATCTCTTTGAAGATAATCATGTGCGATTCCTGTATTTTCTTGCGCCCCGGAAAAGCAGCCAGCCTGCTTGTAGCTCATCCTACGTGCCTCTGCCCAAGAAAATCTGAATTCCTTCTCTGAACATAGGCCTCTTTGAGGATGCCCATGAGAAAGTGGCGGCTTTGGTCACCACATCACAGTAAATGAAAGTGGCTTATAGGCGGGTCTCTGGCAACATACACTCTAGAGTCAGTGTGTCTCCATTCCTGTGGCTGGATTAGAATTTAGTATGAATTCTGTGAGGCTTGCTTGCACAGTTCCTGATCCTTCCAGGTTTTCAGTGCTCAGAGCTTCTGTAGAAAGCCCTGGAGTTTGCCCAAGGACAGTTTGCTGGATCAGCACTAAGGCTTTTTTCTGATGGCTCAGTTGGTTGGAAATTGGGTTGAGCAAAAAGCTTCATGTCCAGGAAGGAATCTAGCCGAGGTCGGCAGTGTCTGAAAGTCGTGGCCACGTGGTCATGGTTGAATGATCTGCAAGTTGCCGGTGTCACACCGTTAGCATCTGGTCTCTCCTTGCCCAGAGACGTCATCTCATTGGGTACTCTTAGTGGGAATCAGAGTAGCAAGGCTGAGCAATGGGCGGTTCTCCTTTCTAGGGGTGTCTCTTCAAAGCAGGGACACAGGCGACTTCGAGATGCTGTTTGCAGGAGCCCTGTCTGTCCTCGGTACAGATCTTCGGTCTCCAGAGTTTCGAGCTAAAATTAGTTTTGGAGAATTTCCTGAAACTAAACTTGTCTCTGGTTCTCAGCAGCATATCAAGTTACAAGCAAACTTGAAGCCATCCTCTGATGGGGCCCCAAATCCCATCGGGGCGGGTAAGCCTACAGATATAGAGAATAACGTCAGCAGAGCAAATATAAAACCGGAGGGAGGGGAATTAAAACCCTCTCGCAGAAGCTGCTCTGAATTGGTGCCATGTGAAATGTCCTCTCAGATGGCCAGAGGAATTCCCTGCACTTGCCTGGTGTGCTGTGTCAGTCCGTGAGACTTGTCTTCCTCCTGTTGCTGTCCCTTTTCGTGCCATCTAGCTCGCACTCAGGTTCACCTCGCTGACGGTTACGAAGGTGGTTTGCCAGTGCTCCTGTGCAAGCGGCACAACACCACCTGGTATATCCGCCTGGTATCTCCAGAGCAATTGACTACCTCGAGAGAGCCATTCCGTGTCCTAAATGTCAGAGGTACCTGCTATAAGTGTGCGGTGCTGTGTCATACCCACCCCCCCGGGCATACCAACGTGTGGTCCTCTCTCCAGTTCCCAGCTCTGGATGCTGCCGAATGGCACTGCGGCTATCGAGCTGACTTACCGTTTGTTTCACATTTGCCTGGTGGTTTGGATGGGTGCCCCCAAAAGTTGCCCTAGATCCCTACAAACTCAGCACTTCCTGGGGAGACAGCGACCCGGGCTGGTGGGTGGAATTCGGCTAAAATTCACAGGAACCACATTCCTGTCTGGTAAGATTCCCTCTCCCGGTCCCATTAGTCAAAAATATTTGTCTGACAAGCCCACCCACAGCTCCAGTTCGCTTCAGTGGGATTGTGTAGGACTGGCGCCTCTCAAGACCAACCCAAGGCCCATTCAGCCTTCGGATGAAAGTAGAAGTTCTTATGGCAGATGCAATTGTATCTCCTTTGATTGAACAGTCCCTTCGTATATGCACCTCCTAACCAGCATCCCTTCCTCTAGTATTTACCCTTAACTCCCACAAGGTAACAGAAGGCCACTAATTTTAGCAGGTTAGATGTGATCAGTTCCTGATTGTATTTTTGTATCTTAATGCGGACAAGAGAACGCCCCACCTCTCTTGCTCCTGGGTATTCCCTACTAGTTTGCTCCTTCTCTTCCAAGTGCACGATGGGTGCAAAATTTCATTCCCACAAGCAGAGAGGACAGGATCTCTGTGAATGGCCAGGCCTTGGGGCCAACTCCTTTTGTGACACGAGGCCTCCATTGTTGCACTAGGAAAGCCACACCTTGCGGCAAAGAAGGCTCCAGTGCAGCTGTATTGGCTCTGCCATGCGCCTGTGTCTCGGGTCCCCTTGGAAAGCTGCCTGTTTGCCTGGCTCTTCCGGGAAAAGCGAAGCCACTTTCCGTCAGTGTGTGAGTGTGTGGCCATAAACCAGGTTGCCCTGACCAGAGCGTTTGTAGTGCTGGTGGATTCTGAAGTATGATCGGCTTTCATTGACCGTATGAGGGGACGGAGCTGCAGGGCCTAGCTGCGTGTCCTCCTCCTCCACGTGTCTCCCTCCTCTTGGGGAAGGCTCATGTCCCCCTTGCTTTTGGGGAGCCCCGTATTGAGCTCTTTGCCAGTGGAGGGTGGGCCTCTCTGACCTCTCACCCCGTGTAAATCTGGAGTAATTCCACCACCGCCAGTGGATTTACCCCAGGGTGAGATCAGAGTCCAGCGCCATGCCTCTGGGGCTCACTCGTATTGCTCAGTCTCTTTGGGTGTGAATGGAAGGGGCAGGGTGTTAGTTGTGGCCCAAACCCTGCTCTTACTGAGGGGTTTCTCTTTTTTGCTTCAGTATTTGCAACTCTCCCTTTGGAAAGGGTGCAAGAAAGGGGTCGTTCAGTATTACACTGTACAGGCTTTTTCTAACAGCAGAGTAGACTGTTCTTCCCAGTCCTTCAGGAATGGGGATAAAGTTTCCCATAACCAATTAGTCTGTGTGTTTTGATAGCATCAATGTCCGACTGGTCAAATGCTAGCGATTAGTTCTTGCGGTTAGGCCATCAAGGGTTTTGGGTTGGGGAGGGAGGGGTTCCCCATCTCTGTAAATACCGTGTGACTCCTAAGATGTTTATGAAGCTTGGAGCCTCTGGGTTCATAGACATGTTTGTACACTAAGAATTCTGCAGCAGAATATTTTTTAAAACATTCGCTGGTTTTTTTTGTAAGCTATATTTTTGTATATTTAATTGCTATTTTAAAATTCTAATGCATCTTTTTTGCTAATCACACTATTGTTACGAACAGAGAATTTGCATGTGATTTGACTTGAAATGTAAATAAATGCAGATTTTGGAAATCGTGCTGTGTGGCAGTCACTTCCGCCACCTTCTCAACTGACTCACACACCATGTTCCCCTGGCTCCAGGCTGCCTATGTCACCCCCCGGGTGACGCTGGCTGAGTTCACTGTGGACAAACAGGATCCACAGCTGGGGAATCCGGGCCAGTGCACCAGGGTGAGAATAAGTCCGCAGACTGCTGGCGGCCCCTCCTTGCTTTTCCCCTATAGGCCTCCAAGCAAGCAAGCAAGCACCATGATTCCACTGTGATAGATGGAAGAGGAGAGGCCGAGAAGTGACTTGCCTGATGGTCAGGCAGAATGAAAGCCAACACCCTGTCCTCCTCCTCCTCCCCCCCCCCCCCCCCCCCACCGCCACCAC